TGTCCGTCCTGGCTTTCCACCGTGCCGACTGGCCGTGCTTACAAGAGACTGCCACACCGGGGAAGTGGGGGGGGGGCAGATTCCCCCCTCCTGACCCAGGCTGTGAGAGAGCAGGGAAAACAAGCCACCCCTGAGTTACCAGGACAGCGAACCCTCTGGCCTGCCGGCAGCGCCCCTGGCTCCTCCACACCCTGCTGCGGTGACGCCTGGCAAGGAGAGAGACACCCGGAGCACGGAGCGGAGCTGGACAGTGGGTGGCCCTCATGAAATGCCTGCACCAGCCTCCTGTCTCTACTGCCACACCCAGCAGCGTATTGCCCCCCGCTGCCCCACAGCCCTGGTCAGACAGATCTTGCTGCGGATCTCTCCATTCCCTCTGCCCCACCTTTCCCACCAGATTTTTGCTGGGAACATCAAAACGGCCAGACTGGCTCAGACCAATGGTCCATCCAGTCCAGTGTCCTGGCTGCCAACAGGGGCCAGTGCCAGGTGCCCCAGAGGGAGGGAACACAATAGAGAACATCAGATGATCCCTCTCCTGTCACCCGTTCCCAGCCCCTGACAGACAGAGGCCAGGGACACCATTCCTACCCATCCTGGCTAGCAGCCAATGATGGACCTAACCTCCATGAATCTCTCTAGCTCTTTTTTGAACCCTGTTCAAGTCCCGCTCTTCACCACATCCTCTGGCGAGGAGTTCCACAGGTTGACTGTGTGCTGTGTGAAGAAAAACTTCCTTTGGTTTGTTTTAAGCCTCCTGCCTATTCATTGTATTTGGTGACTCCTCGTTCTTATATGGTGGGAATAAATCAATCACTTTTCCTTATTCTCTTTTTCCACACCAATCATGATTTTATAGACCTCTATCATATCCCACCCCCCTTACTCCTCTCAGCTCTGGTCTTCACCGCTCAGCCCCTTATGCACTGACATCCATTAGCAAATTCCCTGCTGTTTTGGGAGAGGCTTCTAGCCCGGAGCGGGACCCGGCTGACGCACTCTGGGTGCAACTGCTGTGATGTCTTGGCACCTCAGGCACCAGCCCTGTGCCCAGCCCCTGGTACAGGTGATAGCACCCTGCCCGAGGGTCACCCGCCCATTCCTAGAGGCCCCAGGGAGCAGAGCGGAAATGAAAGCAGCCTGGGGGTTGCTCTCATTTGCGCCGGGGAGCGGGGGTGTTCAGAGCATGGTAAGCAGAAGGATGGCCACAGCTCTTCAGCCGCCGCAGAGTCTCACCCCCCCCCCCCCCTTCTGAGAATGGAGCTAGGCTGCCCACTGCCTTCTAGAGCCAGGCTATCACACCTGCTCCGCTCCCGCAGGCCCTAGACTGTATTCACCCTCTCCACCCAAGATCCACTCTGGTTAGCTGCCCTCGGCCTCTCCTGGTGGCCCTAGGGCTTGGGCAACAAAGGAGTGCTACTGGGGGGTTAGTCCTGGGGAAAGGTGCCTCTGTCCCCGCAGTGAAAGAGGGGGACTGCCCCATCCTGCAGCTGGGAACAGATAGATGAGGGGAGGGGGCTAGTCCCTGTGGCCTACTAAGTCCTGGGTCTCTCATTGAGGGCCTGCCCAGGGCCTGGCTGAGTTTGCGTGGTGGAGGTTCATCCCCCGGGGTCCCCAAACAGCCCCTGGCTGAGTCGCCCGGGGCCTGGCAAAGCTGAGGCCAGTGCCAGCACCGATGCAGAACAAGGATCCATGGCAGGTCCCCATCTTGGCCGGGGGAGAGTCCCCGAGGAACGCATGAACAGGAGCGGGTCCCTGGAGGAACCGAAGAGCCCCACTGCCCCGGCCACGAGTACGCATCGAGGCGCAAGTCTCCTCTTGCTTCCCCCAGCGGAAACCAGGAGTAGGGCCAATGGGGGGAGAAGAGAATCCGGCCACATGCCCGGCCCGCACAGGGGTTGGGCAAGGGGAACAGTCCGGGCACCAGGAGGCAGAGTTGTTGACTCGAGACCCACAACTTGAACTCGAGTCGGACTTAAGTCGCCTAGGCGGCTCGACTCGAGACTCAACTCGGGTTCATTGTTTGTAACTTGAGACTCGACTTGAGACTTGCTAATTTTGTTAAATCGACTCGGTGAAAAAATTGTCCAAAAATGCTGCTGTTGTTAGTAACAAACCTCCCACAGGGGTGATCGCGGCCCCGCCTCCTGGCTGGACTACTAGTAGTTAGCAAGTACGGCAAGTACGATTTATGTTAATAAATGAAAACGGATAGTGATGATTGTTATTTATCGATATCGATGGCTTGTACAAAAGTGACTTGACATTTTTTAATTTAAGACTTGAGACTCGACTTGGGACTTGACTCGAAAGTTACTTTAGAGACTCGAGACTCGACTTGAGATTTGAACGGTCGTGACTTGAGACTCGACTTAGACTTGACAATGACAACTTGAAGATAACACTGCCGGGAGGCCTGGAGAAGAGTGACCCAGGACAGTGCCGGAGAAAGAGGCAGGGGCTCGGTGGAGGATACTTACGAACACCCGCAAATGCCGTGCGCACACCAAGCCGATGGCGCCGTTTTGATCGGGGCCGCACACCACAAGCACCGTAGGCTGCTTCCGGGGGAGGGAGGGCAGCGGGAACACCTGCAGCGCAGAGAAACACAATGGGATCAAAACCCCGGCCACGTCCCTGAATCTGATCTCCACCCCCGCTCCCAAGTTAGGAACAATTTTGCCCCCCTCCTCCCCATCTCTCTCAGGCCTTTCTTCCTAAAGGTCCCTAAGTCCACAAGCAGAGAGAGGAAAAAAACTGCATCCAGGTCTGGAATGCAGCCACCTCTGGGTTGGAACACAGCTGGTGTTTAACAGGCCACAACAACGCCTTCCCCCCCCCCCTTGGAATAGGTGTGGAGAAGGGTGCTGTATCCAGATAAAACTGCAAGGAAAGCACCGGCTGGAATTTAGCCAGGCCACCAGGACTGCCACCCCAGCGCGCTCAGGGAAAGCCAAACGTATCTGAAAGACAGTGATCCCCGGAGCGCGGGACCCCGTGAGCCCTCAGGATGGAACACATCCGTCAGCTGGAAGTACCCCATCCCTGCAGCTCAGGCCCTGCAGGCCATGATGTAATCCCAGCCCTGGCCAGCTAGCAAGCGTGTCGTGCGCGCGCCGAGCCCATAAACAACGCAGCTTTCTTGTCGCTGCGAGCTAGGGCGCCGGTGCAGAGAGAGCTTGGCAGACACCTGCCCCTGTCTCCCTCTCCACTGCCTTGGTAGAAGAAGCAAAACCAGTCTGAAAATACTAAGCGGCACAGAGACCTCGTATTTACTCACTGGCTTTTTCCTGCTCTTGGAGTCTGGCTTCTGCTTCTATCCAAACACAGGACACAAGCAAACTGCACACGCTATTTCCAGTCTCTGACATCCTGAACATGCTTTTCGGTACCTGTGCCCTGGCTGGCTCCGCGTTCTTTGGCCGGGACTCCAGACTTTGGGCATGCCCGTGTTTCCGAAGTCTCCTGGCTCCAGGAGCAAGGGAATGTCATGGGGAAGGAGGGATAGAGACTGAGAGAAGATGCTGCTCCAAGAACCCCCCCCTCGTTGGGACTGGAAACCGCACCTTTCAGCCAGGAGAAGTGGAGTTCAGGAACAGAGCTCAGGGAGCAGTTCATCGGCAAGTCTGGATTTTTTAAAACATTGTGGTGGGTCGAATCGAAAACCTAGATTTTGGCAAATCAAAAAGCTGGGGTGGGGGGAATGAGTTCCAGGTCCGACACCCTGTTTTGTTTCGAGTGGGAGGTTCCCTTCCCCCCCTTTTAGCTTTTCAAAAAATGAAATGAAAGGCCGTTTTGAAACAAAGAATTGTTTTGAATGGAAAACATTGGAAACTTTTTGATTTTTCCAGTTTGTTTTGAGGGCTTTTTTCTACCACCAAAACATGAGCTGAAGTTGGCCCCAATTCGCAAAACAGTTGGGTGTCATCAAATCGGCAGATTCTGTGGAGAGAAGTTAAGAACATCAGAACAGACACACTGGGTCACACTAAAGGTCCATCTAGCCCAGGATCCTGTCTGCTGACAGCGGCCAATACCAAATGCCCCAGAGGGAGGCAACAGAACTGAGAAGCATCAAGTAATCCCTCTCCTGTTGCCCATTCCCAGCCCATGACAGAGGACAGGGACACCATTCCTACCCATCTTGGCTAATAAGTATTGATGGACCTAACCTCCATGCATTTATCTAGCCCTTTTTTGAACCCTGTTAAAGTCCTGGCCTTCACCACGTCCTCTGGCGAGGAGTTCCACAGGTTGACTGTGTGAAGAAAAACTTCCTTTGGTGACCCCTAGTTCTTATGGGTGCATCTACACAGCACAGTTATTGCAAAATAACAAATGTGAGCATCTACCCAGCAATTCCGTTATTTCGAATAACGGATGGCTTATTTCGAAATCTGTAAACTGCGTTCCATGAGGAATAACGCTTATTCCGAAATCACTATTTCGGAATAGCAGTCATGTGGATGCTCCACTGGTGCTATTTCGAAATAGCTCCTCCCCACGGCCAGTCAAAGTAATTACTCCCCAGTGCTTCCTGGGGCTCTAAATCAAGGTAGCACATCCACATTCAGGAAGTCTGTCTCGGACTAATTTTGAGGTTTCCCTGCAGTGTAGACGGGCTCTTTTGAAATAAGCAGTTTCGGGGAAAAAATTCCAAAATCGCTTATTTTGCAATAAGCATACTGTGTAGACGGACTCTCTGTTATGGGAACAGTTTGGGTCAAAACGCTTCGCTCAGTCCATTTGGGATGTGCCCAGCAGCCTGGCAGGAGGAGGGAGAGTGAATCTGGTTCTCACGGTGCATGATAGCATTAGTGAAGACAATGCTGCCTCATGTCACATCTAGGTAAACTGAGGCATCCCTGCAACTAAGGGCCTGGTGTCCAGTGAGTGTTGCGGGCTGCTTGGCTCCTCTAGGTGTTGATGGTAACACTGGGACTCAGGCTCTAATTGCTTTGTGAGGAAAGCTGGCCTTGAGGAAGACACTGGGCTGAGATTCTCTGCCACAGATGAACTGGGTAACCTTGGGCAAGTCACTTAACTTCTCTCGGCTTCATCTCCCACTCTGTCCAAGAGGGACTAAGATGTTTCCTTTCTCCCATGGGCTGGCTAGTTAGACTGTGAGCGCTCGGGATGGAGATTGTATCTCCCAGTGTGTGTGTGCAGTGTGTCACAGCAGGGCCTGGAGCTTAGCTGGAGCCTCAGATTACTCCTGCATTACAAATAATAACAACCATCCACAGCTAGAGAAATACAGAGCAGCAGCCTCCGGAGCAGGCTGCTCCCCAGAGGCCCAGCCAGCATGGCGCAGCCGAGGATCCCACCACAGAGGTCAAGATGGCGGTGACCCCAGGATTGTGGGAAACAGAAGACTGAACAGGACAGATTATTACCTGCCTGACATCCAGAGGGGACTTCCGGCTGGGAGGAAAGTTCAGGTTTATTTCTCCTCCTTAGCACCGGTAGGGCCTTGTCTCCAGCAGGGGTCAGTCTGTAACTGGGCATAGTGAGAGGCAGCATGGCCTAGTGGCTAGAACATCAGCCTGAGAAACCACTGATCGATCCCCGCTGGGGTGTCTCTGTTCCCCATCCTAGCCTTTGTCTTGTCTCTGTAGATTGTTAGCTGCTCGGGAGAGGGCAGCCCCGATATATGTGCGGCCCCTGACTCAGGGGAATCTCGTCTCTAGATGATGTTAGCTTGATGTTTCAGGCAAGAGGCAGGGACAACTTTTCATCACCGGTGCGGCACATGATGAAAGCCTCCCTCGGGGATAAAGCAAGTTACTCGGTGTGGACACAATCTGGGGCAGGGACTGTCTGTGTTCTAGGTCTGTGCAGCACCCAGCACACCAGGGGCCGGGGGCATGCTGGGCTCCTAGGCCCTACTGCAATGCTCTAACACAATGACGAGAAATCAGTCCATTGAACGCCAGTGTAGAGGAAACGCACAAACAGCCCTCCTGCTGCTGTCCTACAATGCACCACTCCCTGGCCATCTGGTCACCTTTCTGCACTCCGCTGTCCAGGGGCCTGGCTGAAAGCCACCTTGGCTGTGCTCCTAGCTCCAGCACGGAGCTCACGTGCTGGCCGTTGGCAGAGCACTCCCAGGCAGCTGCTGGTGGGTGGTGGCAGCGGTGGGATAAGCCGACAATTCTGGATCAGGCAGCAGGGAATGGGAAGTGAGTGCCTGAAACTGATAAACCCTAGAGCCCAAGAGTTTTGTTTAAATGTGGAACATGGTCTGCAGTGTTCCCTCTGGTTTTTTCCATCCATGTGGAGAATAAATTTTGTGTTATGCACCAAGCTACGTGTGGATGTGTACCACCAGTAGACACACATGCTGCCGGCGCTCTGCTAATCAGCTGGGCAGTACCTGAAGCTCTCCTGGGCATCCGCCCGAGTGCTCAGCTTACAGGGAACCCTGACGGACTGGGGGAAAGGGGAGGGTTGAGGCAAATCGTGGGCAGGAAAGCAAAGATCCGCTTCTAACTATAACCTCATTTGCTGCTGCTCTTTGGAGGATCCCGCATGTTCCCAAGCAGTCTCCTCTCTGGAGCTACCCCAGGGGCTGGCTGGGCACAAACAGCTGGTGCTTTGAGGGGGTTTAATCGATGTCTGAAAATAGAAGGGGCCGGTTTTAAAAATCCCAGCGGCTGGAGGGTTTGCTTCTAAACAAACAGCCCGTTGCAAGGGCCAGAATTAATCCTGCAGCTCAAAGACAGCAGCGGGAAGTGATTAGAAAAGCTGGGCTGGGTTGGAAGAAATATTTCTCTGGTACGCTATAGCCCCTGTCCACTAGCGGCGCTCCTCCAACAGAGGAGTGCACTCAATGCACCTGTTAAATTTTCCTCCATTAACGTAACTTGGATTTGGACAATGCAACCTTAGACCTAGGGGTCACCAAATGAACAGGGAGCAGGTTTGAAACAAACGAAAGGAAGTAATTCTTTATGCAACATACAGTTAACCTGTGGAACTCCCTGCCAGAGGATGTGGTAAAGACCAGGACATTAACAGGGTTCAAAAAAGAGCTACATACATTCATGGAGGTTAGGTCCATCGATACGTATTTGCCAGGATGGTGTCCCTAACCTCTGTCAGGGAATGGGAATGGGTAACAGGAGAGGGATCACTTGAGGATTCTCTGTGGCTGTCCCTCCCTCTGGGGCACCTGGCATTGGCTGCTGTCAGCAGACAGGACACTGGGCTGGATGGACCTTTGGTCCGACCCAGCGTGGCCATTTTGATGTTCTTATGTGTGTTTGACCAAGGTCCGGAGGGGGGGTTGCTAACCAGGCGTTTCCAAAGGAGCGTCTCTGTAAACCGAACTGTTTGGTCGCTCCCGTTAACGCAGCAAAGGGTTGAATATGGAGTCCTTAAAAAGGCAACGAGCCTTAACATCCGCCTGCTTGTCCCAGGGCACATTTCTGGGATGACGGAGGCGGAGGGGGGGGTATGGCATCACTGGTACCCAAGGCCGGGGGAAGCCAGGGCAAATTGTAGAATCACAGAGGATTAGGGATGGAAGAGGCCTCAGGAGGCAGCAAGTCCAACCCCGGCTCAAGCAGTCAACAGACCTCTGGCACCG